GAACAATCTTGATCATTGGCATCACTTCATGTGATAGGGAAACGCTCTTGATACCCATCTCATGAGCAATTTTCTTCACTTTCAATTCATGAGCAGGATAACTAAAAGAAACTTTCAAAACAATGAAACTGAGACAACTTGCCCTAAAAGGTGAACGGTTACATGAATGAGTGAAGGAACGCCACCGCAACACTCTTTATTCCTTTCGACTTGATAGCCTTCAGAATCTCCCTGACTTCGACGTCATTAGGTTCTTTTTCCACGATCACCTGAATGTATGACGGCTCATCCCCATCATTTCACTTTCTACTCATCCACATATAACGGAAATTATCATGGCGACTAGATGTCATATCAATTATTAAAAGACGACAAATAGCAAAATCGACAGCTCTCGTACAGCACGGTCGCCTTGCGGGTGCGCGTATCAGAAACTGAGCAGTAAGGCAGCGTTCAGACTTCGCGACAGCAGCGCTTCGGTCGCGCGTTCGACGCGATCGATGCGCATGCTTTCGACTGCATCGATCGCGTCGAACGCGCGACCGAAGCGCTGCCGTCGCGAAGTCTGAACGCTGCCTAAGGCTGAGGCTGCGCCCATACCTTGCGTCATAGCGTTTCGGAAGAATTAGATCTGAGCGAAACGGCGATTTGAACGAAAAGGATACTATAGATGTCTATCGGCATATAAACGTTGATTCTTCTAGAGCGCTAGCAACCGGCGCCACTCTTTTCGCTCAAAACGCCGATTCGCTCAGGGCGCTGACTCCCAAATATGAACGCCGTCTAACTAACTAGCGGGCTGCGAAACGCTGTGTAAAGCCGCTACAACATTTCCGTCTTGTTGAATTAATTGGGATCTTTCCAAACAATGGCGGTACCGAAAACCAACAAACCTTTCTCCCAAAGAACGTCTCTTGCACGCATCCAATTTCACCTAGCTGGCAACTGTCATCATATGGGATGACGCGCTCATCCACCTCAACTACTTCCTCATACAGAACCTAAACTTTACCCTCAATACATATGTCGACAGTCGTGGTTCAAAACCCCTAATGAAATAAGAAATAATGGAACCCACCCCTGGAATTTGTATATCGAAGTCGAAGATTTTTGGACGCGTCTGATTGCCTATATAGAGGAGATCTCTGAATCCTTTGGTGATTAATAACGCTATCCGTTCTCCTTTTCGCTCAAGCAACGCATTCGTGGCAACGGTCGTACCCATGCGAATCCAAGAAATCTGCTCTGAAATCGAAACTATACTGTTTGGTAGTCCCGTTGTTGCCAAACAGTACTGCTTTGCACTAGGAATGCTAATAAGTTCCAGCCTCTGCTGACAATAATCTAGCAATGGGTGGCAACAAAAGAATTTACTCAACACATAGATAGGATTAGACCGACACAAGGCAGTGTTCAGACTTGGAGACTGCAACGTTTCGGTCGCGCGTACGACCCGATCGCTCATACGACTGGTTGTAGCGCGAGCAATTGAGTCCTACGCGCGACGGAAACGCTGTCGCTGCGATGTAAGAATACTGCCTAGGCGATATTTATGATTTATGATTTATTATCGGCATTCTATTGACAGTGGCACACATAAAAAAGGAAACGCAGAAAAAATCTCCGATAATCAACCTAGAACTCAGTGGGAAACAGCATAAAGTTGTTGCGGTGTAGAGGGGGTAATCAGTGCAGAAGGGCAGTGGCCGCCAACACTGCAAGTCCATCCACGCATCAAATAGGACTCCGGATACCAACTTAGTAGGTCCGCCAACTTTACTGAGACCCAGCTCCAACAGCCGCAGGCAAGGATTAGCAATGGGGTGCAACTAGGTAAGAAATATACATCTTGATAGTAACACAAAACACATTCAATGTAAGGCGACTTAACACACAGTCAAAAATACAACAGTACAGGAAATAGGAATACAAAAATCACTTAATCGCCACTCAGCCTTTCAAAGTGTAATAATTTAGTTTCTGTTCTCAGAACCACCCTTGTGAAATCATAACTTTTCTCACTTTGCTCCTAAACGACTTAGGAGAACTCGAATTTATAGTACTGGTTGGCAAACTATTCCAAAAACTGATAATCCGTTGAGTAAAAGAATTGCGGTACTCTGTTGACTGACTTTATTTTATCTTTTATGAGCTTGTATCGGTGACCTCTGGTGCGCCCAATCGTTGAAGATCTTTTGAAAAGGACATCAAAGTCTAAGTCTACCAACTTAGCGGAAATTTTGAAAGTAAGCTCGTAATCACTCAACTTTCTTCTCATTTCAAGTGAATCCTCCTTCAAGTACTTCAGTCTATCTCTATATGATACATGGAACATACCCTCACGAGCGAAAATGCGTTCAGTGAATTTAGACTGAACACCCTCGACCATTTCAACTTGGGAGCGCGTATAGGGGCTCCACAGCATAGGGCAATACTCGAGCGTAGGGCGCACATACGCTACAAAAAGCTTAAACAAGGTTTTTATGCTTCTGGAAGAGAATGCGCGCAGAATGAAGTTTGCCTTGCAATGCTGAATGCACCACTTTCTTAATGTATTCGCTGAATGACAGCGTACGATTATAAGTGATACCTAAATCAGTAAAAGCTTCTGGTTCTTTTAGCTCAATACCATGAATTACAAATTTGGGTGCAGAAGGTAGGAAACACCCAACCGCAAAACAACTGTTTTATCAAGGGAGATTGCGAGTCCCCATTTCCTAGACCACAACGATATTGCATCAAGAGCTGCTTGCAGCAGGGAGGGTTGGTTCATGCAGTATAATTTGACATCATCCGCATACATCGTGCAATTTATACCAGGTGGAAGGCTCTCAGGCAGATCGTTTATGTACATGATGAACAACAGAGGTCCTAGACAAGAGCCTTGGGGAACGCCACTCTCGGTCTGGTAGATTCTGGAGCATGAACCGTCGAGGACAACCCTCTGGTGTCTGTTACAGAGGAAGGATTCTATGAACTTCGCAAGACATCCGGTGATGCCGATATTTGACCCAAAACTGGGAAGAAACCGGGTATTTTATCTTGAATGCACTCTATTCTAGACAGTAAAAGCCGCGATCGTTTACAAGCTTTCCTCACTGCTCGATAGTGAGGTGCACGTACTTTTTTCAGTACGCTTCGAACTGAGTAACACTAGGTTCCTACTTCTAAGAGTTTGCTGTCATTGTACCTGTTATCTTTCAGGAAGGGGTGGGTTTACGACCAAAAGAGGTTAGTCCGTTGCAGTAATGCAAATATGGAGGATGACCCAAACCGAAACTGAGTTCTGAATGTGTTCTGGATACTGCTTTCTATGCGCGGGCGCGCATTGACATGAAGGAGGACTTATTCCAATTTGAACCGATGCGGTCCTACGGTGCGGTGGTTTGTAGCTGTGAGCACGTCTAGCTGTCGCTGAGGGGATCCTTATATGGCCCTTATAGAATTTTTTCCAGAGCCGCTCTTCGGTTTTCTCGTTTCATGTTCGCTGTGTATCCTCCTAACCTCCCGCTCGACGCCAGTTGTCTTTGGGAGAATGAAAGTTCATAATTTATTGAGTGGGAGAGAAAGTGGTACGAAGTTGGAAAAATTTTGGAAGATAATAGGTGGGATGAGGAAGAAGAGGTTGCAGCAGGAGAGAATTCGGGTTGGTGGATACACAGTACAGTAGTATCATTCTTTACCCACCAGCTGGAACTGGACTTCCTCGAGGAATGGAGACCCCGGTCTCCTGCTCCAAAACTTGTCGTATGGCTTCTGTAGGAGCGTCAGCATAGTTTGCTGGATCTTCTGAGAGCACCTAAAAGACAACAGAATCAGAATCATTATTGCTAATCAATTGAACTTTTTGAGGTTCACAAAGGTTTATGGAAATCCCAGTCAACGCACTGATAGACCAACTTTGTCGATAATATATTGCAGGACAGAATAAAGAGATACAGAACAGTGTGAGAGCCTCTAGTCGAAGAAACAGTGACAAGTGATTAACGGAAGGGGCAGGGTGGAAACGGGCTATCGTGAGCCGGAAAGGCATTAGTTGGCAAAAATTACAAATATTCAGTTGTCCCATAAGTGACGGCGTTTATTTCTGACCTAAGAAATTGTGTGAAAGATGGCATGATTTACCAACGCATACTTGAATAATTGATTCATGCGCTCCAAGATAGCATGCTAAGGCAGCGTTCAGACTTGTCGCGCTTGAACGCGCGTTGATTGTCGCGCTTCAGTTGTCGCGTACCAGACCCCAGCTTCCCTTTATGTTCTTTCTTCCGGTATTCAATCCCTTTTTCACTGTTTCTCATTTCTACCTGATTCTTAGCTCCTCTTTTTCACTTTGACATTGAATTTTAATGTAGTCTCGACGTTTCTGACAACCTTTTGACGATGAGTTTTGTTGAAACAGTATACCAAATCATTACACAGTGTCCTGTATCAGAAACCAGAGGAGCTGAGAATCCGGTAGAAATGAGGAATAGTGAAAAAGGGTTTGAATACCGGAAGAAAGAACATAAAGGGAAGCTGGAGGTCTGGTACGATTTAAGCTAGCTTGTAATTGTAGCGTGCTCACTTACAAGCGACAGCAATTTAGCATTGAAGTGCTCGTTCAAGCGCGACGAGTCTGAACACTGCCTTAGATTATTGTGCTCACTCAGTCTTTGTTCAATTTTAGGGCAGATGAAGAAGATAAGGGCGAACATGGCGCCAGGTTTTTCCGCTTGATCGAGCTAGTGAAGCAGCAGGAGCAGCTCAAAATTCATGAAGTGTATGGTCGAGGAGTACTGGCTCTTGAGACAGCTTAAAATAGTCACGATAGCCGTAGGCGGGCGATTGTCGTTTGACCACACCCCACTCAGCCCTTCCACTCAGAAGAGGTGAGTGAGGGTAACGCTCTTTTGCAGCACTTCCACTTTATACTTTATACTTTACCAGTCTGGCTGACGCGCAGTTCTGCGCGTGGTTAAACCTTTGTTACTGATAACTGACAGGATTCCTGTGCTGAGCACTAACACTTACCCTAATTCCTATGTCAAAACGGCCCATTTCATCATGTTTCTCCCTTTAAAAGGCACTTTCCGCGATAAAATAAGGCTATGACCTTTCAAATGTGTCAGACGATCCGGAAGGAGATTGCGGAGGCTGCGCTACCTTTAGAAAGTGAAAATCGGCAAGAATTCCGCTTTAAGCTAACCAATTAGGCCCATGGGCGCCCCTTAGGCCCATGCCGACCCCACCGGCTGCTAGCTACTAGCTAGTAGCCACTATGCTATCTCTCTCCATTCCGAATGGTGAGAGTGAGGTGATACGATAAAAGAGCTGATATCTTTATGATAACGACGAGTGGAAATTCGTACAAACATGCGTTTTCTTCATTGCATGCATGTACAAGTTGGGGTCGATATGGAATCCTATTTAGGGCATTTTCGGCTGTTTTTCTGCTGCTTTTCTCCGCTAATCAGATACCTAGCCCTTTTTCGTTCCTATGTGGGTTCCGTTACCCACAATCTGTGGTCGCGGGCTTTGCCTTTAATGAACATTTGCCAATGTTAGGTCTTATCATATTTCTTGAAATCACCATTTGTTGGAAATCGGACAGCATAGCGGTTGGAAGGATTCCGATGGTAAAAATATCGAAATCACAGTGGCTCTTATCATTCCTCACTGGGCAACAACTCCATACATCCTTTCGGTGAAACTCGAGCGTTTAGCGGTGGAAGCAATTCCGACCGCTAAACTGAGGGATTTTACTGATAGGAATTCTTGACTTACTAAGCCTTCGCCCATTGATTCTTTGGTTACGGTGATGTGAGCAGATACGGACTCCCAAAAGCCCTTGTAGGACACTGTCAGAATTTATCTTCCACCTTTAATGTTCCCTAAGCACCTCTGAATTACTTGCTGGAGCAGTTCCCAGTGTTGCTACAACTCTGCTGTGAATTTTCCTGGCTATCTTATCAGCTGTTATCAATTCCTGCCACCCGCCAATAATGTTCCCACCTGCCCCTGTCTTACTTCTTAGAACCAATGTCTCGTTGTTGCTGTGGCCGGTGCTATGAATTTGATGACCCTCGCTTTCTAAGACCCCTTATGGTATCTTATCAGCTCTTATCACTTCCTGCCACCCACCACTAATGTTTCCATCCTGCCCCTATTTTATTTCTTGGAACCAACACCCTACCATCACTGTGACGCACGTTATGGATTTTGAGACCTTCCCCTTCTAAGGCT